TCTATCTATCTATCTATCTATCTATCATCTATATCCTATCTATCTATCTATCTATCTATCTATCTATCATCTATCTATCTATCTATCTATATCTATCTATCTATCTATCTATCTATCATCATCTATCTATACTGTATATGGAAGTGAGAGCTGGACCATAAAGAAGGCTGATTGCCGAAGAATTGATGCTTTTGAATTATGGTGCTAGAGGAGACTCTTGAGAGTCCCATGGACTGCAAGAAGATCAAACCTCTCCATTCTGAAGGAAATCAGCCCTGAGTGCTCACTGGAAGGACAGATCCTAAGCTGAGACTCCAATACTTTGGCCACCTCATGAGAAGAGAAGACTCCCTGGAATAGACCGGCACAAGGAGAAGGGGACAACAGAGGACGAGATGGTTGGACAGTGCTCTCGAAGCTACGAACATGAGTTTGACCAAACTGCGGGAGGCAGTGGAAGACAGGAGTGCCTGGCGTGCTCTGGTCCATGGGGTCACAAAGAGTCGGACACGACTAAACGACTATACAACAACAAAATATTGTGCTTCTGCAAACCTTGGGGTTACCCTGGATCTGCCAGTGCCTCCCTGTTGCTCACAACTCTTGACAATTTGGCTCTATTTATTTTATTTTATTATTACATTTATGTCCCACCTTTTCCTCCAAGGAACCTAGGGTGGTGTACTTGGTTCTCACCCACCCCATTATCCTCACGCAACAGCCCTGTGAGGTAGGCTGTTCTGAGAGAGGGTGGCTGGCCCAAGGCCACCCAGTCATCTTCATGGCTGAGTGCAGATTCAAACCCAGGTCTCCCAAGTCCTGGTCCAACACTAACCGTTACACCACAATGATATGCCACTGTGCAATTCTTGACTTAATTCATGGCTCTTGCGCTTTCTCGCCCCCTCTTTGTAACGGTTGTTTCTCACACAGACCTGTCAAGTGCACTTATCGAAGACTCACCACTTCAAGTGAAGTGCCCATTCTGGGGACCACCACACAGCTCTTAGGAAAGCTTTAAGTATTTCATACCCTCCAACATTCCTCTGATGAAAATAGGGACGTCCCATTCCATAATGATAATTCTACTATTTATACCCCACACATCTTACTGGGTTGCCCCAGTCACTCTGAGCAGCTTCCAACAGATATAAAAAAGTAATAAAACATTAAACATTAAAGAACTTCCCTATACAAGATTGTTTTCAGATGGCTTGGGGGTCGGATAATCCATACCCTCCAACATTTCTCCAGTGAAAATAGAGACATCCTAAGGAAAAGGGGGACATTCTGGGATTGATCAGAAACCGGGGCAGCTTCTCTAAATCAGGGACGTCCCTGGAAAATAGGGACACATGGTATCTGCAAACTCCTGGAGTCAAAACAGTGGTGATAGGCCCATTTGCAGTGTAACCAGACAACAAACTCACAACCATATAGGCCTCTTTGCTCCTTTTGGTCTGTAAACAAATGGATAGGGAACTGTAGCACTACAGCCACTGAACCAGCCCCACTGGCATTCAAGCCTTCAGCAGGATATCTGGAAAGGAGAAGTTATGGGTGGGGTTCAAACAGTGAGTGCTGTCAGCAGAAGCCCTTTACCCCCATCTCTTCCCCCATGCCCCACCAAAATTGTCTTGGGGTGAGTCAGAGAATGCTTGGAACAGGGAAGAGCAGGGAGGAAAGGGCAATTGTTTTGTCTGGCAAACTGAAATGCTTGACCTGAAGGAATGATGACCTTAGCACAGCATTGAATTCCTACTTCTGTGCGTACAATTCTATGCGCCTGGGCTCTCCATGTTGACCACACAAGGCTGCCACTCCTGTGGATCTGCAGCTTTTGGAGTTAGTCCTAAAGAACATGCCCGCCTGGAACAACATTGTTATGAGATTGTGGCTGGGCTGAACCCCACCACACACATACACACAATTGATGGTTTGGTCCGATCCTGACAGGCATAACCTGTGCCAACCAGTGGCAAAGTGATATATGCTGAAGTACAGGTGCCCTTCATGACCGCTCCCATAGACACACCTCCTTAACCATGCCCCTTCTAAGACGGCACAGCAAAAGTGAGCTTTTGACTAACAATGTTTCATTACCAAGCTATCATTTTCTCACCCCACTTTTTCCCAATATGAACCCATCCAGACCCTTTGCTCTTCCTCTCAGGTTATCCTCCAGGTGCCCTCCCCACCAGGAAGTTGGAAGGATGGTGACAAGGTGAGGGCCTTTTGGGTTGTGGCTCCCCACTTGTTGAATGCTCTTCCCAGCAAGGTCTGCCTGGCGCCATCATTAACATCCTTTTCGCAACACTCTTCTCCCCAGGCATTTGATGGATTCTGGTTATTTTTCTGTCTATCGGTGGTAAGTTTTAGCTGCTGAAGTTTTGCTGCTGTTTTATAGATTAGTGCATGGCTTTTATTGCAATACATTTATGCTTTGTGCTCTTAGTTGTAAAGCATGAGACTCGTAATCTCAGGGTAATGGGTTCGAGTCCCAAACCGGGTGAAAGATTCCCGCATTGCAGGACTAGATGATCCTTGTGGTCCCTTCCAACTCTAGGATTCAAACTTCAAATTTAAGGCTTGTAGGCTCCTTATGTGGCAAGAGAAACCTTAGAGTAAAAACTGAAACCCATCAAATCTCACTGCTTGAATTGGAGCATGTGTAACAATACTCTCAGAATGTGTGCTGAACTACTAACACAGGATTTTTCTTGTAGCTTTATACTGCTGAACAGTAAACAAAATACAGGCAGAAAGTCACACAGCCTCTCTCTCTCTATACTTAGAAACTAAGTCCAGCTGTTAAAACCTAATAACCAAGATTTAGCCACCATGTCATTCAATTCCAGACTGTAGTCACGCAATGTTCTGGCCTGGTGATGAAAAACACTTCAGACTTATATAAAGCTTTTAACTTCCCGTTGAAAAGGCATTAGGTTCCCCAGGTAGCTTTGCCATTCGCCTCACCTGCTTCCACTAATGTTCAGATACACACATTTTAAGACGTTCCCGTTTGTATGTTAGTGGGTGGCAGAAAGTTAGATCTGCATTAGACTTGGTTCAGGGGAATGTTCATCTCTGTTGTGGCACCCTGCCTGCGGAACTCGCTTCCACTGGAGACAGTTGTGTCATGTCCCCCGGCTCCGGCCCCAATAACAGCCTTTCAATGTCAGGTTAATACATTTTCTTTCCCTCAGGCCTCTGGAGGCGGCTGATGTATGGAACTGGTGTTTCTGCTGCCAAATTGTTGCTGTTTTTCAGGTGTGGTTTTATGGGTTTGGTCTGTTTTCTTTGATATGTTGCATTTTAACGAAAGGTTGGATACTGTGGATTTGGGGGGAGGGAAAGGGGGGGGCAAAGGCAAGTGGAAGGCTATTTGCAGTTGCTCTCGCCTCCCTTCACTCCCAAGGCATCAGCAGCACTGAAGATCTCAGTTTATATACATTGCCAAGAAAGAGGACAAAAGTGGAGCAGGGAATTCGCATTCAATTCACATAGGTGTCTTTAAATGTATACACATGCAAATTGAGAAATAATTGCTATAATTTAAATAGCACTATAGTGGAAAAGACTAGTGGGAAATACAGTGAGTGTGTGATCTGTGTGCCTGTTCAACATGCTGCCAGGGTGATCACTGCTGATGGGCAACTTAGGGGCCTCACCTGCTCTCCCTGAAGAATGGCTCTTTATCTTTAAACCAGGCCTGGACTGAGCAGCCCTCCATCTTTGAACAGAGGACTGCCCTCTGAAAACAAGCCCTCTCTCCCTAAAAGGTGCCACTCGCTTCGTTTATATATCCCAGGGTGCCGTTTAATGCACAGGAGCAGGGACACCGGGAAAAAAAATCTTCAACCTGTTGCTGAAAACAGTCAGGGGGTTTCTGGTAAATCAGGTTGGAGAGGTCAACAATTCTACCGTACTTTTCCATATGTGTGTGTGTCTGTAATAATACACACACACACACTCTTAATAATAATAATAATAATAATAATAATACTTTATTATTTGTACCCCACCCATCTTATTTGTTTCTCCAGCCACTCTGGGCAGCTTCCAACAAAGATAAAAAATACATTAAAATGTCACACATTAAAAACTTCCCTAAACAGGGCTGCCTTCAGATGTCTTCTAAAGGTGTATATGTATATGTATATGTATATGTATATGTATATGTATATGTATATGTATATGTATATGTATTCTCTCTCTCTTTCTCTCTCCACACAGAAAAGTAGGCAAGAACACACACGCATATATATCTTTAGGTTAATAGTTAAGCAATCTATGTTGTTCCCTCTTGTACTGATTGCAACCCCAACAAGGGACATTTTACATTTTGCTTAAAAATGATGGGCTACTGCAGGGGTCAGCAAACTTTTTAGGGAGGGGGCCAGTTCACTGTCCCTCAGACCTTGTGGCGGGCCGGACTGCACACACACACACAGCAGAGGGGGGCTTCTCTCTTTCCCTCAGCCCAGCCCCTTCGTTCCTGCCTCCTAAGCTGCTCTGCCTGTGGTTGGGAGCCGCCGGTGGTGCCTCTTCTTTCCAGGCCAGCTTTGCCAGGCGCGGGGCCAGCAGACGCACCAAGCTCCAGCCAAATCCCCATGGTGCCCGTCATGATGCCCACCGCGTGGCCATGGACGGAGAGGCTGGAGGGCGGGTGGTGAGGCTTTGGATTGGCTGGCACCAATCAAAGCCCAGCTCCCTTCCCCCTGCAGGGCGGGGAGAAGCTAAGAAGAGGGAGGGAGGAGGTGCCGCCGCAGTGTGTGTGTGTGTGGGGGGGGGATGGCAAAAAATAGTGCCTGAAAAAAATTGCAAAAAAAATGGCGCAGCCTGAACGATCATGCCGATCCAAGCGGCGATTCCAGGACCATCTGCAGGCCGGATCCAGAGGGCAATTGGGCCTGATCCGGCCCGCAAGCCTTAGTTTGCCAGCCCCTGGGCTACTGAGAGAGAGGGCAGAGGGAAAACATTAAAACAAAAGTTTGCTTTTAAAAAAACCAAACCCCAAACACATCTGATCTTACCTTTGGGAGTCTGTACTTCTCTCGCAAATGGACCCTCAGGACGGCTCTCTCGGCCTTTTTTGTTGCAAAGGCTGCATCTCTTTCCATCCTGGGAACAGAAATGGGAGGTTTTGTCATCATGGATGGCTAAGAAATTGGCAAGGAAGGCCGCACCACAGAAGAAATTGCGGAAAACCACACAAGCGCAAGATAGATATTCTAATAACATAACAAAGGAAATGATTACATACACACCATGCACTTAAAGCACATCCCCCCCAAATCCCAAAGAATATTGCGAACTGTACTTTACTCCCAGCAACCAGCTCTCAACAATGAGTCCTCCTCCTTAGTCTCTGGGCTGCATTACACACTAACCCATTTCTAGCCCTAACCATTTGGGCCCAGGGTACCTCAAGGACTGCCTAATCCCATATATCACAGCCCAATTACCGAGATCATGGAATCATAGAGTTGGAAACATGAGGGTCATCTAGTCCAACCCCCCTGCGATGCAGATAATCTTTTGCCCGACTTGGGGTTCAAACCCCACAACCCTGAGATTATGAGTCTCATGCCAACTGAGCTATCTCAGACCTGGTCTTTGGAGGAGAGACTGTTGCTGGTCTCCCATAGCTAGGATCCACCAGAAGCCATGTGTTTAGTACTGGGAGCCCAGTTTTGTAGAAATCCCATCCAGAGGAGGTCCGATAGGCCACCACCCTCCCGACTGACATTCCAAAACCTATATCTATCTATCATCTATCTATCTATCATCTATCTATCATCTATCTATCTCTATCTATCTATCTATCATCTATCTATCATCTATCTGTCTATCTCTATCTATCATCTATCTATCATCTATCTATCTATATCTATATCTATCTATCTATCTATCTATCTATCTATCTATCTATCTATCTCTATCTATCATCTATCTATCTAACTATCATCTATCTATCTATCTATCTATCTATCTATCATCTATCTATCTCTATCTATCTATCTATCTATCATCTATCTATCATCTATCTGTCTATCTCTATCTATCATCTATCTATCTATATCTATCTATCTATCTATCTATCTATCTATCTATCTATCTATCTATCATCTATCTATCTATCTATCTATCTCTATCTATCATCTCTTATCTATCTATCTATCTCTATCTATCATCTATCTATCTAACTATCATCTATCTATCTATCTATCATCTATCTATCTATCATCTATCTATCATCTATCTATCTATCTATCTATCTATCTATCTATCATCTATCTATCATCTATCTATCTATCTATCTATCTATCTATCTATCTATCATCTATCATCTATCTATCTATCATCTATCTTCTCTCTCTCTCTCTCTCTCTCTCTCTCTCTCTCTCTCTCTCTCTCTCTCTCTCTCTCCCCCAGCAGGCATTTTAACTGGAGTTTGATTTCATAGTTTTAACTGATTTTTATTCTTTTTTGTACAGTGGTACCTCTGGTTACAGATGCTTCAGGTTACAGACTCTGCTAACCCAGAAATAATACCTCGGGTTAAGAACTTTGCTTCAGGATGCCAACAGAAATTGCGCAACAGCGGCAGCCAGAGGCCCCATTGGCTAAAGTGGTGCCTCAGGTTAAGAACAATTTCAGGTTAAGAACGGACCTCCGGAATGAATTAGGTTCTTAACCCGAGGTACCACTATATTGCGATTTTGAGACTATTGCATATAGGTAAAGGTAAAGGGACCCCTGACCATTAGGTCCAGTCGTGGCCGACTCTGGGGTTGCGGCGCTCATCTCGCTTTATTGGCTGAGGGAGCCGGTGTCATGTGACCAGCTTCCGGGTCACGTGACCAGATTCTGGGTCATGTGGCCAGCATGACTAAGCCGCTTCTCGCAAACCAGAGCAGTCCATGGAAACGCCGTTTACCTTCCCACCAGAGCGGTACCTATTTATCTATTTGCACTTTGATGTGCTTTTGAACTGCTAGGTTGGCAGGAGCAGGGACCGAGCAATGGGAGCTCACCCCGTCAGTTATACAATTGCATATAAATTGTATAAATAAATAAGCAAGAACATAAGCGGAGCCCTTCCAGGTCAGACCAGGGGCATCCTGTTCTCCCAGTGGCCAGCCAGATGCCTCTGGGAAGTCCAGCAGCAGAGGAGAGCATGAAGGCAATAGCTCCCTCCAGCAACTAGTATTCAGTGAAATGAACATACAGCAGCTATACTAATAGTTGGGCAGCATCTAAAGAGCTGTGCTGGACCAGACATTAGTTCCACCTACTGCAGCATCCTGCTTCCAACAATGGCCTTAAGGAAGTCCCTAAGATAGGCAAGATGAAGAATGGTATCCTTAGCACCTACTGTCTCTGAACATGGAAGTTCAGAGGGACATGTGCATTGCTTTGGGCCTCTAGGAAGCACTTAGCTTAAAGCCATGCTTCTGAAACTGGGAAGTGAAGGCCTTTGGGTGGGTGTGGAAGGAAGGAGGTTGGAATGGTGGCTTCCTCAATCGCCATTCAAGACACATGGGGTGGCTTTTAGCAGAAGACCTCTACTGGATATGTAGCACCATACTGCAGGATCATCCTGGAGAGATATGCAAAGATGGGAGTTCAGAAGGAAGCTGCTACTTTGCAAATATGGCCTAAAAGGCATTACTGAAACCTGGTGGGGGAGACTCGTAACTGGAATGTAGAAATCGAGGGTCATAACCTATTCAAAAGGAATAGACCAGACAGAAAGAGAGGAGTTGTAGCATTATATGTAAAGGGTGTGTATACATGTGAAGAGAACCATGAAGGCTGATGGAGAGTATATGAGTAAAAACTGTAAGAGAGAGAAACAGCTGTGACCTTTCAGTGTGTCTGCTATAAACCTCTAAGCCGAACTGGATATTTGGACGTTGCTTTCCTACAGCAGATTGCCAAACATTCAAAAAGGAGAGTCATGGGAGACTTCAACTACCCCAATACAGTGGTACGTCGGGTTAAGGACTTAATTCGTTCTGGAGGTCCGTTCTTAACTTGAAACTGTTCTTAACTTGAAACTGTTCTTAACCTGAAGCATCAGATTAGCTAATGGGGCCTCCTGCTGCCAGAGCACGATTTCTGTTCTCATCCTGAAGCAAAGTTCTTAACCCGAGGTACTATTTCTGGGTTAGCGGAGTCTGTAACCTGAAGCGTATGTAACCCGAGGTACCACTGTATCTGTTGGGGTATCTCTGCCAAGAATGTAAGGTCCAACAAATTCCTCTGTTGCCTCGCTGACTATTTCATTTCCCTGAAAGTGGGAGGAGCAACAAAGGGATCTATCTTAGACCTGGTCCTCACCAACAGGAAGGAGCTGATCAATGAAGTAGAAGTACAGGGAACCTTGGGAGGAAGTGATCTTGTTCTCTTGGGTTTCGTTATACAGAGGCGAAGGAAGGTTAAGTGTAGTTCAACATGCACTCTGAACTTTAAGAAGGCTGATTTCAAAATGCTTAAAGCATTACCGAATGGTATCCCATGGTCAGAAATACTCAAAGAGAAGAGAGTCCAAGATAAATGGAAGTTTCTTAAAGGTGAAGTACTGAAAGCACAAATGCAGACCTGTTTTTATACGCAACAACAGCGGCAAGAGTATTGTTGGCCCAGAAATGGAAGCAAGAGGAAATACCGACGAAAGAAGAATGGCAGACAAAATTAATGGACTACGCAGAATTGGATAAAATGACAGGAAGGATTCGAAACCTGCGGGACCAGAGATTTACAGAAGATTGGAAGAAATATACGAACTATTTGAAGAGCAACTGTAATCAACAAATTACGCTAGTAGGACTACAAGAAGTTTTGTAAGGAGAAATATATGAAATATTGCAAAGAAGAGAAAGAAGAGAGACATTAGTTATGATGTTTAAATGTAATAGTGAAAGTAAGAAATGTAAATTAAGTGAAAAAATTGGAAAATTTTCAGATGTGATTGATGGAAGTAAAAAAATTGTATAAGATATAAAAGTATGTTTAATAATTGTTGAAAATATGTTAAAACACACACACACACACACACACACACATGTATGTATGTATGTATGTATGAAAGAAAGCACAAATGCAGACCATTCCCACAAGGAAGAAAAGTGGGAGGCCTCTAAGAAACTAGTGTGGCTGCATAAAGAGCTTACAGATGAACTGAGATTTAAGAAGGGCATGTATAAGAAATGGAAGAAAGGGGAAACGGCAAAGGAAGAGTATAGTCGTGTAGTCAACAGTTGTAGGGAGAAGGTCAGGCAGACCAAAGCTCAGAAGCTTACTGACAAGCTGGAACATGTGTGGAGGAGGGCGACAAAGATGATCAAGGGTCTAGGAAACAAGACATGTGAGGAACGGTTGAGGGAGCTGGGTATGTTTAGCATTGATAAGAGAAGACTGAGAGGAGATATGAAGGAGATTTTCAAATATCTAAAGGGCTATCCCATGGAGCAAGCTTGTTTTTTCCTAATTCAAAGGGTAGGATCCAAAGCCAATGGCTTACAAGTTGCAAGAAGGGAGATTCTGACTAAACATCAGGAAACTTTCTGACAGTAGGAGCTGCTCAACAGTGAAACAGACTCCCTCGGAAACTGGTGGGACTCTCCTTTCTTGGAGGTTTTTAAGCAGAGATTGGATGGCCATCTGTCATGGACACTTTAGTTGAGATTCCTGCATTGCAGGGGGTTGGACTTGATGACCTTCAGGGTCCCTTCAAACTCAACAATTCTATGATTCCTTCAGAGAATCCTAGGTTTTTTTTGAGGATGCTGGGAATTATAGCTCTGTATGGGGCTAAACCATAATTCCCACGATTCTTGGGGGAGGGGTGTGGAGCTGTGTGTTTTCAAGGTATGGTGTAGATCAGGCTTCCTCAACCTCGGCCCTCTAGATGTTTTGAGACTACAATTCCCATCATCCCTGACCACTGGTCCTGCTAGCTAGGGATCATGGGAGTTGTAGGACAAAAAACATCTGGAGGGCCAAGGTTGAGGAAGCCTGCTGTAGATCATCATCAGTGTGATTCCCCGTCCCCAGTGCTGTCACTTTCATAGCTGAATAACGTCCATGGTTATTTGGTTGTGGGCTTTATCTTACATTGTCCTTTGCAGACTTCTAGAATTTACAGTTTGGCAGCCCTGCTGCATTCTGAGCATCTGACGAAGTCGCAAATACAGGGAAACAGGGAAAACCGGAGAGGGAAAACCGGAGGGTCACAAGGCATTTAATCCAGCCTGATCCACTGATTCAGTGTGTGACCTTTGGCAAGTCATTTAACCTCTGTGAACTTCAGCCTATTCAGCTGTAAAACCGAGATATTAGAAGGGGGGGGGACGGGACGTTGCGCCCATTACCAAGTTCTCTTGATGAGTAGGGCCTCTTCCAGATGACCTGGTTATTGAGCACTCATCATGATTTGCTTGCACAAGGTTTGCGGGCGATAATGCCAGCTGCTTATTCAGCATTCATTCCGATTTGTTTGCGGGGAGGTTATACCATGTTGGATCAAGCAGGCGTCATCCCACACTTTGCTGGGCGTATCCCCATCACTTTGTTTACCCCCAAAAGTCTGATTGGCGGGGATGGTGGACGGGTTTGTTGCGCAAGAGCTCCAAAACAACTTCAATGGCACTACCTGAATTTGCTGGTATGTCATTGAATCCCACCTGGAAATGGTGACAATCCAGAAGTGCCCTAAATCACCCATTTCCATAGTGGCAGCTTTTCCCCCTTCTCTGTGTAAAAAGTTTCATTCCAGTCTTGAAATACATGCAAATTTTGTTCTCGACCAAGAAACACCTTTTAGCATTTGATGCAATTTGGCTTAAAAAGCAGTATTGAAAGGTGTCCTTCACCTATGCAAAGATTGTATTTGTTCCAGGTGTTAAAGGAGGGAAGGAGGTTGGACGCTCCCTCCTGTACACTTTTTTTTTGCTAATAACTGTCCAGCATAAAGAAGTTGCATTTAAGATTCCATACGTTTAGAAGTCCACCTCACAGAAACGGCAACTTCTAAATATAACCTGGTCTGCCTTAAATTCCATAGATCATTAACCTTTCACCCTTAATCATCTTAGATGTGGGATTTAGACAACCATTATGTAATTGATCATTAGCAAAATGATGCACTAGGGATTTGAAATTCAATTGTTTTTGGAGTTGCAATTGTGCTTGGCTTTAATGCTTTTATTACTGAATCCCTTTCATTTTCCTTCACATGAGCGTACAGGCAGATTATTGATATCACTGGTATATTTGACAGTGTTAACATTTCACAGAGCTTTTCTACAAGTTTAAAAATACCCAGCTTCATTTTAACAAGTCAGAACAGTTACTTGTGTGTGCTGTATATTTGAAAGTTTGGGCAGAGGAAGGGCAAATAAAAAGGCTTATGATTTTAAAATCAGTAGATTCTCCTCTAGGTAAAGAGAATTAAATTACAACAGACTATACTTTCCATTTTTTTGCATAATTGTAATGACTCATCGCAGGAAAAAAAGCCAGGGATTATTTTAAGCACATTATATAGCCCTTTCAAAGGGAGGCTCACATAACACTGAGCATTAATTCCCCATGTATTCATTTATTTTTAGGTGTGTGGGGGGGGGGAATACAACTTTCCCTCCCATTCATTTAGTCTACAGAAATAAAATCAAAACTAACCAACCGAATGAGGCATTCTGTTGAACTGGTCAAAATGTTTCAGTGGATTGAGGGACATTGTGACGCACTAACCACAAAAAATATGGTTCTGTTCATACAGCTATCATTATATGGGACGTCTCAAGATGTTTCTCTTTTCCCTCTCTTAGTAATCTGGAGGAAGGGAATTAAAATGCCCTGGTGTAATTCTCAAGGAGATAGTGACATGAAAAATCAACAGGAATCTCTTGACAGTAAATAGCACAAAGACTTTACCCATATACGTCCCCTGTGGTTTTATTATCTTGTGCACAGATTGAGACAGAGTGGATCAGTTACAAGCTGATAATACAGGAATCTATACTCACTTTTCTTCTATCACTTGCTTCTGATATTCCTCATATTCTTCCCGGGTCATCCCTGCGGCTGCAGCTGGGTCAGCGGGGGCTGCCTCTTCCTTGGCCTCGTCACCCCCTCCACCAAGTCCCAAATTTTTCACTTGGTTGCTCAACATGCTTTTCATTAGGAAAGCCATGTTCTTCTTTGCTTTCGCCCCAAAACCGGCTCCCTTCCGAAATTTGAAAAACCAGCCAAGAGCAGAGAGACGTGGACCTCGAAAGAAAAAAGAGTAAACTATTCGGCAAATGGAATTTCTACAGCCTTACACACAGATCTTGAAGGGCACGGAGCTAGAGGAAACTCTACGCCGAAAACAGTTTGTCAGCCATAATCTGGATTAGCGCAGTGAACTCCTTAGTATCCAGAGGCAGATGGTTCAGATTACTCGGAGGAAAAAATCATTAGATGCAGCCACCTACTTTTTATATTAATACCTTAAGCCAATTGTCATTTTAGAAAAGAAAAAACACCCAAAAATTTGCCGACATTGAGACAATGGGAAGATGCCCGTTGTTTCAAGACCTTTGTGCGCAAGAGATGCCTGTGATTGATGGGAGATGCTTAGTTTAAATGGCGGAACCTGGTTGATTGCATGAGCATCCTGCGATACGGGTCAGCAAACCATGGACCAGAGAGATTTGTAGGGAAGGAGGGAGGGGGGAATAGGATTCGTCATTAAACGAGAATCAATCCTTTTATCCATTAATATTGTTTTATCCCATTGGGCACTGGATTTCAGCCTGGTCTGCTCTTTCAGACTCCTAAGTGGTTTGTGGTCCGCCATTGGAACATTGTGCCAAACTTCTATGGAAATCTTTCTCTACCTGCCAGTCATTCATACTCCGGCATGTAGAATCAAGTATATGAGGGAAATTAATGAAACATATAATTAGATGTGCACTATATTATTAGATGTCTATTATGTTTTATAGTTGAATCCGAGAGAAGTAGGTTACGGGCATATTTAGCAGGGGCAGGGGGTTTATTGCTGGGATGCCAGTATTGTGTATACAGTGGTACCTCGGGTTAAGTACTTAATTCGTTCCAGAGGTCCGTTCTTAACCTGAAATTATTCTTAACCTGAAGCACACTTTAGCTAATGGGGCCTCCTGCTGCCGGAGCACGATTTCTGTTCTCATCCTGAAGCAACGTTCTTAACCCGAGGTACTATTTCTAGGTTAGCGGAGTCTGTAACCTGAAGCGTATGTAACCTGAAGCGTATTTAACCCGAGGTACCACTGTACTTTGACATTGTAGCTTAGTATACAACCATAGAATCACAGAATTTCAGAGCTGGAAGGGATCCCGAGGGTCATCTAGTCCAACCCACTGCAATGGAGGAATCTCAGGTAAAGCAACCATGACAGATGGCCACCCAACCTCTGCTTAAAAACCTCCAAAGAAGGGAAGTTCACACTCCAGAGGGAGACTACTCCACTGTCAAGCAGCTCTTACTGTCAGAAAGTTATTCCTGATGTTTTCATTATGCATTATGTACTAGTGTGTAGTATGGTAATGTTACCTCTTTTTTTACTGCCTGTGGCAGCCATTTTGTCCTAACACTCACAGTATTTTTTATCAAGATACCAGTACCAACACTTCATATATTTTTTACCAGAAAAAGAGCAAAGAATGAGAGAACTGTATATAACAACTTTTTTACTTTTTCGTATTGTCTGGCTATTGGGTTATGCCTTGAAATACTGTATATTATTTATTAAGTTCTATGTTGTAAATTGCCCAGTGGTCTTTGGACGAAGGGTGGTATATGCATATACAGTATAATTTTATTTCTACGCCACCTTTCAAGGCAGCTTACAACATGAAAAAACACATAACCTCAACCTAACAAAAGTAGTTATAAACATCATAAAATACACAACCAAACCTATCAACTTCCAATCAGAAGATCTAAAATGAAGACACACACAAAAACCAACAGCAACAACTCCCCAACAACTTTTGTAGCTGGAGTCAGTCAGGGCTCCGCCCTCTCAGGCCAGATGGAAATGGCCTGCAAGGCAGGGATGGTGATAAATGTTGATAATAAATAATAAAACAAAACAATATGTAGAGATTAGCTCCACCAATTTCAGACTATGGTTTGCAGCTCATGTGACTGGGCCCTAATTTTTAAAATCACAAAATCCTGCCCAGAACACAGACAACGGGATGTCATGGAGGAGCAAATGTTATTTATTGGAGCATTCAGTCTTTCATTCAAGGACTCCCCCTTATAGTCTGAAGTAAAAAAAATGTAAAAAAAGTAGTCTAAAGTGGTATAGTCCAGACACAACTTTACCCTTTCAGCCAGAACTAAGCCTCTCTCAAATTTATACTCAAATATACATAACTCGCTGGAGAGCCAAAGTCACGCAGAAGCTGCAAATAGTTTAGCATTTACCTGGATTAGTGTCACAAGGAGGGCTCAGTAGACTGTCCTTGCATCCTATTTTTAGGCACCAATGTCTTTGATGGAGCACTTCTGAATCAAGCAAATGACGGTAACTTAATGGTGTTTGGAAACGCTTTGGAGCATTGGAGCCTAATTCACAGCAAATTTGTGTGTGGTGTGTAATAATAAAATTTAAGGTCTTATATATATAATAAATGTTCATAAATGTACCAACCAGCACAGGAAGACCGACCTGAAACCATTTTGACTCCCAAACTGACCAAATGTTTTCTCTGCAAGGAGGGAGGGGTGAGGGAACCTTCCGATTGTCTCAGGTCAGGAATTGGGTAATCACCATCTCAAAGGAATGGCCAGACTACCAGGAAAGGCAACCAGATAAGGCATTATCAGATAACCTGGCAGACAGGAAAAACAACAACATTCAAATTTCTGTTGTAGACCGCCTTTTCTGTGATGTAGGTATGATGTATCTGGGGGGTGGTCTTCAGCTCCAGGGGAGGGAATTTAAAATGTCTATGTAAGGGCAGGCACACCTTGGTGCTGGGTCCTCCTCCTTTCCTGCATGTGAGGGGAGCACCCTGTTGCAACAGATCAATAAAGATCAGGCTTACTAGCTGCTTTGCTTCTCAATATTCTCTAGTTGGCCTCTGTTATTTTCTCCTACCAATAGGGAACTCACGTAAGGACTTTATACGGGCTCTTGGATACCCCATAAGGGAAAAAGGGCAGATTTTGTTTACAACAGGTGCATGGGGCAAATAGGCAAAAATAAATAGCACAGTTTTGTTGAGAACAAATCAACTGGCATCTCACCCAGTGTCCCTCCCTCCCCTGTAGTCATGACAGTTGCTGGTCACCACAAGACCCAGATTTGTGCACTGACAACAGGTTGGTGGTGCGAAAGGAAAAGGGCAAGCTGCGAAGGGAACATTTTTGATAATGCAGACTACCATCAGCCACAACCAGCATGGCCAGCGATCAGGGATTATGAGAGATGTAGTAAGCAACATCTGGATGACCTCTGGTTCCCTATCCCTGATATAAAAGAGAGAAGCCGACCAAATAAAGAGAAAGATTTGGAAGCACTGGAAGTAATTACCATATTGGCCAGAATATAAGCGGCACATTTAAAAGTCAAGGGGGGGGGGGAGGAAAAAAGACAATACCGGAATATACGGTAAGCCCCTCGCTTTCTCCCTTCCCTGCCTTGGGGGAGAGGACAGGGGACTACGCATGGGATGGGCGCTGCTTTGTCATGCTTCTGGTGGTCCTGGCCGCATACTGGAATTTTGTAAGTTTGCGAATATAAGCCGCACTTTAACTTTTCACAATCAGAATTTTTTTTGGGGGGGAGTGCGGTTTTTGGGGGGCCAATACGGTAATACTACAGTGGTACCTCGGGTTACATACACTTCAGGTTACATACACTTCAGGTTACAGACTCCGCTAACCCAAAAATAGTGCTTCAGGTTAAGAACTTTGCTTCAGGATGAGAACAGAAATCGTGCTCCGGCGGCGTGGCGGCAGCAAGAGGCCCCATTAGCTAAAGTGGTGCTTCAGGTTAAGAACAGTTTCAGGTTAAGAACAGACCTCCGGAACGAATTAAGTACTTAACCCAAGGTACCACTGTACTACTATGCTCATAACACTGCTTCTTTCAATCTGTACATCTTTAAGGGGGTGGATAGCCAAGATCTGCGTTAAATTTTAATGCATGTCTAACAGGGATTTCTCTTAAAGGTTTTGCAGCACAGTCCACATAGCCTGGAGGAGCAGTGTGGTTTTGTTGTAACATGCTCTTTTTGAGGAGCACTACAGAACTATGTCAACCGTTTCTGGGTATAGCTTTAATAACTGTTTGCATTATTTCCATGTGAATGGGCCTCCGAACAGAGCCACCCATTTCGTTGGACATATGGGAGGAGTCATTCTTGGCTAATCCCTTAATCCACTTTAGTACCTTTCTAATTAAAGGACACCCTACTCCTTAAAAATAGTACAGGATGTTCAGTAAGCCAAGCTTATCACTTGTTAATCAGCAGACATGAACTTTCCTTTTGAAATAAGATAGCATCTTGGGCAAGGTTGTCCAAGATGGTTTTGAGTTGCTTTATAGGAAATTTAAAAAGACTGATATGGCTTTCATATATTCTTTCAAAAAAACAACCCACTAGGCCAATAAGCTTTGCCTGGAGAGGTTGGCATGTAGAATAATACTGAGCTAGACACACTAGCCCAAAGCAACTTTAAATGTATATTATTTTATCCACGTTTATAGCTCTTTGCAGCTCTGAATGCTGCCACTGAGGAAGGGCACCGTTAATTTGCCAATCATTATTTTGAAAATGACTGGAATATCACCTCCTAGAAAACTATGATTGGCAGGGCTGGAAGCAGATGTGAGCAGATGAATAGGTTTATCTTTAAGCACTAGGCAACATCCCAGACAGGAGAAAGCGTTTTCTGTGCTCTCTCTCACACACGGAATCATACAATCATGGAAGGGACCCCAAGGGTCTAGTCCAAGCCCTACAATGCAAAAACCTCAACTAAAGCATCCACGACAGACGGCCATCCAACCTCTGCTTAAAAACCTCCAAGGAAGGAAAGTCCACAGCCTCCAGAGGGAATCCATTCCACTGCTGAACAGCTCTTCCGGTCAGAAAGTGCTTCTTAATGCTGAGTCGAAATCTCCTTTCTTGTAACTTGAAACTTTGCTACAGGTCCAGAGCAGGCTTGCTCCATCTCCCGTGTGACAGCCCTTAAGATATTTGAAGATGGCTATCGTATTTCCTCTCACACCCCACAACGTCTCTCCATGCAGGCAAGAGACATTGGCTTTGTACACATTAGTGGCTTAGAAATGCACTGAAGTCGAAAATGATGTGTGATTGGTATCTAACACTGAGTAAAATTGCGAAAATGTATAAAACTAGTTCGAATCTGTGTTGGAAACGCAAAGGGAAGGAGGGTACTTTTTAAACGTATGTGGTGGACTTGTGCACAGGTAAAAGCCTTCTGGGAAATGATATATAATGAATTAAAGAAAATGTTTAAAAACACTTTGTCAGAAAAACCAGAAGCTTTTCTGTTAGATATAATAGGTGAAGAGATGGCTGGGGAGGGCGGGGTATAAATAAAATTATATTATTATTATTATTATTATTATTATTATTAGAGGACAAAAGACTTTTTATGTATGCAACATTCGGCAGCGAGAATGCTACTAGGCCAGAGATGGAAGGAAGGAGAAGTACCAACAAAGGAAGAATGGCAGACAAAAACTGATGGAGGACACAGAGATGGTACGAAACTAACAGGGAAGGTATCAGAAAACCAGGAAGGTCAAGTATTTTTAAAAGACTATAGTAAATTCTTAAAAGACACTGTAAGCAGTTAAAATCCATGCAGGGATGTAATCAACTTGTAATGTGACATATTTATAGCAACTATAGAACAGAACAATGGCTAAAGAAAAAGAGCAGAAAATTTCATTCTTAAATATGGAACCCATGGAGGGAGGGAAGGGGAAGACACATCAAAATCAGTACAGTGGACTCTGCGTTGCAAACAGGTCCGTTCCAAGGCCCTTCGCAATCATTAAAAAGCCCGCAACCCTGAA